ATGAAATTTGTTTGGTATTCAAATAAGAGCCTTTGTCTGGCATGTCCCCTTGATTCCAGATGCTGTCTCTTGGGTTTCAAATGATTTTCGAGAGATGAAAACTATATTTCAGAGTGGTTTGGGCTTAGAAAAAGACACTTAAGAACTTGGATAGACACTATACCCAATTTGTTCTATGTATTTCATGGTTTGCTTTGTCTTAGACATCTCCAAATGCAATGAAATTCTGCAAAAGAAAACCTTTAGACCCTCCCTCTAGCATGTCTCCTGGCTTGCCATAGATCAAAACTATCTTTTAAAGTCGTTCGATCATAAAAACACTATTTTTCAGAGAACAGATCTTTTAATTGATTTAAAGATTGCTTTGTTCAAGTCTGGAAACCTCTAACAATTATGCGAAATTTCTTCGCATAAACCCCTAGGACCTATCCATCCCTCTTTCATATGTTTTCTCTTACATTTCAATGGATTTTTCCTTTAAATTTCCATAGATATTTGCCAGAAGAAAGCCCAACATCGAAACGAAATAAATCATGTCATAATTTTCGAAGCAAAAGGGCAGGCGAAATCTTTCATCGTTTTGCGTCTAGAAAAATAAAAAATGACCAAATGCCAAATAAAATAAATAAAGTATTGAAAATGAACAACAGATAAAAGGGGAGAAGCGTCCAGTTTGGACAGCCCAGCCAGCCAGCTGTTAGCCCCAAAAGGGAGGTCATACATTAATATTGTATCTGTATATTTATCTGTATCTGTATCGGTAGTGTGTGTATCTCGGTGTCTGTTTGGATATTTTCTCATTACGTTTATGGGCTGCTGCCCCCCTCCCAAGGCAGACAACCGTTTGTTTGCTATAATATCTATTTGTTTTGCTTTTTATTTGTTGTTTCGCTGCCTTCCATTTAGGCGCAAAAAACCTCCAAAAAACATCAGCAGCAGCAGCCACATGCCACAGGCACAAATTTGCATCTTTCTCGATTTAGCCAAATGACGCAAGTATCTCAAAAAACACAACAACTAAAAAAAAACGTGGAATATATCCTACATATGGCGAGGTTATGCACACCAGCGCCGGGCGATTGTAAAACGCTTTATGTTTTTATATGGCAATTTTGTAGATTTCTTTTTTCTTTTGGATCATTAGACAAATTAGGTATGTTTTTTTTTCTCCCGGCGAAAAACTTGAGAGGTTTCTCTGCCCTCGAAGCTCGAAGGGGAAAGTGAAGTCATTCTTTTCTTTTCATAAATATTATTCTAATTTCACTTTTTTCCCAATGAATGAACAAAACAAAAGCCAAGAGTCTTAGTTGTGTGCCGGAAAATCCTCTTAAGTGCAGCAAATGTTCACACCAAAAGCGAGCATTGACCCAAAACACATGGATACCCGTACACTGGGAGAAAAAGTACAGAGAAGGAGTAAAAAGAATAAACCCATATTTACGTTAATAATAGGGTTTTAAAATATTAAAAAATATAAATATAAAAAATATAAATAAAAAAAATATAAATATAACAAAATAAAAATATAAAAAATATAAATATTTAAATAATAATTAAATAAATGTATTAAAACCTCTTTTTAATACAATTAAATATGGCTTTCAAACATAAAACACATTTGAAATAAATATAATATATTCAATTTGTATGAAATATATTTATTTTAAATATTAAATGTATTTATTAAATATTAAAAATATGTTCATGTCGAATTGTAGTCCAATCCAAGTCGAACTATTCGATTCTCAGTGCTTTTTTCGCTGGGTGTACTCGCAGATACATTTTAAGCTGAAAGATACAAGTAAAGGAAAGGAAAGGAAAGAGAAGGGCTGGGCGCGGCAGGGCGGGGAAAAACTGTCGCCAAACACACAGAGCTTGCATTTAATTGCATTTCGTTCGAAGGAAAGTAAAAGTCACTTATGGGAAAACTCGAGTCCCTCTCCGCCGCCGCAGACAGAGACAATGTCTGGCTGTGTGTCTGGGATTTTGCAGCATTATCTTTCCCTTTTTATACGGTCGGTCGGAGGATGTGCGTGGAGCTCTTTGTTTATGTGTCTGATCTTCTAATTGGTTTGGCGCTGCACAAAGATGTTGCCAATCCCCTCGCTCTGGCCCAGAGACCAGACAAAAGGGTTAAGAGAGCGCAAGTTTTCAATTGTTTCCGTCTGTAAAAAGTGTGTGTAAAGTGTAGATTAAATTGTCAAGATAAATGACTGGAGACACGCCTCTCCTCTCCTTCTGTGGCAGCGGCTACTGTTTGGAGTTTTTCCTCTTTTCAGGGGGGAAAACTTTACGAGTTTTCGGCTTAAATTTCACATTAGTTTCAAAGCGCATTTCCTGCCCACACACACAGATACGGCCACAGATACAGAGGTAGTCTTTCCACAGGTAGCAATCACAGCTTTGATGGGTCTTGGTCTTGACACCACTTGAGAGGTTCCTCTGTCTCGTATCTTTGTATCTGTGGGATCTGTTGTTGTATCTTTATAGCCGCCTCTTGCGTGTGTGTGTGTGTGTGTCGGCTTCGTTCAGTTTGATTGATAGTTTGTTTACAAATTTAATTTCATTTTACTTGTTTTTTCCCCTTCTGTTGGTTCTTTTTTTCTCTTCTCTCTTGACTTCTTTGTGGCATTCACCTGTGTGCTCTCCTTGCCACTGCCACTACCTATCCCTAGACATCGTGTGCTGTTTGTCTTTCTGCCTCTCAATGTTTTTCAACTTGGTCAACGACGCCCGGCAGGGCCTTAGGATGGGACTGGGTCTGGGACTGGGACTGGCCGCGCCTTTTATGTGGTCGCCGCCTCATTACAAATACCCTGGGAGGAGTGTGTTCTGATTTGGAGAAGACGCTGGACGAGAACAGATCTCGGAAGCCAGGGAGGAGTTCCTTTTCCATCGTTCCTTCCTCGCTTGCTCTTTTGCCTACTTCTATTCCACCGTTTCTTGCTTGCTTGCTCTCTGTCGCTTTCCTAGTCGTTCCCTTTCCACCGTTCCTTTCGTTCTTCTGCCTGGGTATCAAATACTTCCTTTTCTCATTGACGGCTAAGCTTCCTCTCTGTAGCCTTTGTTTGCCTTTTTTCTCTCCCTCTATTTGGCTATTTGATATATAAGGAATGTGTTTCTATATGCATATCCACACGCGAAGCAAACAGAGAGGAACAAGAGAAGAAACCAACGAAAGACAGACAGAGAGGAGACCCAAAGTTGGACGATGGCGAGAATCACATTAAATGCAATGCCATTTGAATGCCTCGCGCAGCACTCTCGCACTTGTGAAATCCAATCACGTACTCCCTCCCGTACTCCCTCCGGTGTGACGTAGAAAGGATGCCCAAAACTCTTTCAAAAGACTTCATTTCGAACTTGGCTAATGCGTGGGCGTGGCACACAGCCCCAAAGGAAGAGGCAAAGCCTGGCCGGGAGGGGGGACCTTGTCATTTGGCTAGTCCCCCCCAATGGGCCATCACGGGCGTCTGATGCCGCGTTTACAGGTTGGAAATCCCCAAAGGAATTTCACATTTGATTAAAGTAAATATTTTTGTAGGAATTTAAGATAATATTTATTTAAAATCAAAGGGAACTCTTGATTTACTTTGGACAGCGGAAGGAACCCTAATTAATATTGAAACGCACTTTTTGTTGGGTCTTAAAATTGCCTTTTCTTTTGGGGTTTGAATTTTCCAAAGGAAAAGTCGTTTTAAATTGCCAGCAGCAATCTTTGACCTTATTTTCTGACAAATTGCATTACGTCTGATGGAAATTGAAGTAAATTTTCACGGGCATTTCTTAAAAGAAAACCCCTTGGTCGCATTTTAGAGTGTTTTTTTTTTGGTACAGTTGGAGCCATTTTTGGTAGTTTAAATGTTCCTTTCTAGGCTGTTCCTGTTGCGCTCTGTTTCCGGTGATTCCATAGTTCCTGCCTGGCTCGTGGCGGCCCTGTTCTCTTCATTTTCATTGTTCCTTTCTTGATTTTTTCTGTTTTATCGCTCCATTTCCATAGTTCCTGTCTTGGTTGTTTCTACCTTTTTTTTATCCTTTCTTCTTTTCTTGCTCTTTCCTGTCTTCCACAATCCTTTGTCGCCTTTTCTTGGGGAATCTCCCCCTTCTTATTGACTCTCATATTTCCAACCCCGAAAAGATTAGTCAACAAATTCGTTGTAAAAAATGTCATAAATCGTCCCCCGAGGATTTCTCCTTCGTTTCGCTTAACCTTTTGCATATTCGCTTGAGTGATTCTGATTTCTCTATCTCTGGCTCTCTGGGCCTCTGGTGTCTGGTGTTTGCAGCTCCAATTAGAGAGTTTTTGTCGCCTGTTCGGGGCTGCTGTTCGGAGAAACAATTCCGCAAGCTTTATCGTTCCGACTTCCTCTTCCTGTGAGCACAAATGCACAAAGCAAACATTAGACGAAGGAACGAAGCGAAATCTCAATAAATCACAAGACAAAGGAACGAACACGCAGAACACCAGATGTAGAGTTCTAGGCTGGAAGGGGGGTTGCTTGCTTAAAGCCGCAGAGTCGACAAATCACACACGAAGACATACGGAAGTGGTGTCCTTGCCACAGCAGCGGCAGCGGCAGAGTGTCCCGTCTGCATGTGCTGGGATTAGGCTAAGGAACGAACGCCATCACCTTGTTAACCTGCCAGCCATTAGCTTAATTCGTTTTGTGTCGCCGCCGTCTCGGCTGGAAAGGAAACCACCAAAAGTGTGGGTAATTTTTGTGGTTGTACCCCGAGACACTTCCTGCCTCTACCTCTGCCTCTGCGCCTGCCCCTGCCACAGCACTTTGTGGGGCTTCTTTCACACCAAAGAAGAAGACACTTGATAATTAGTTAATTAATTTATGGGATGGGATATGGGATATGGGATGCGTATCCCCTCGAAACCCCTCGAACCGAAAAGGAGACGCTGCCGCTTTGTACTTGTAAATTGCCTGAAGCGAGGTGCCACAGAGGCTGCCCCGTGAAACCCCAGAGACTAAGAAACATACAATTTTCAGTGAACCCTCCAGCCCCCAGCCATCATGGAGGGTGGCTCCCGATAGAGTGATCCGATCCACAAGGAACCCGTTCTGCCAGCGGAAGCCAAGCGATGGCCTCCCTGCAGCAGAAGCGCCCCAGCATCTCGAACTGGTTCTCGTCGCTGCGGCGCCCACCAAAGGACAAGAAGGGCCCCTCCCTGGGGAACAGCGGGAGCTTTGGCAGCAAACAGCAGCTGCAGCGGAGCTGCGTCGATCTCCCCTCGAGTTTCGTAGGAGGAGGCGGCATACCAGGATTCAATGTGGAGGGAGTGGGATTCAGTGTCGATCGGAGCAGCAGGAGCAACAGCACCTTCTACATCAATCCGCTGAAGGCCTCCAAGGAGGATCGCCGCCGACTGGTGGAGACTGGCAGCAGCAGTGGCGGCAGCAGCAGTCGGAGCAGCAGCGTCTGTGTGCGATGCTTCTGCAATCTGCTGTCGAAGAGCGAAGAGAAGACACCCACCCCTACGCCCACGCCCCTGCCCACTCCCCCGCCCGCTAAGGTGCCGCCCAAACCCCCAGCCAAGCCCCGTTCCCCCTCGCTGGCGCCCTACACGAGTGTGGCGACATACAACATCACGACCTTGACGCCCGACAGTCCCCCGCCCGCCAGTCCGACGCCGAGCAGCGTGACCGTCAGCTGCAGCGACACGAGCCGCACGGTGGAGGTGAAGCGCCTGCCCTGCGACGAGCCCCGCACGGAGCTCTACAGCAAGCGATCGGAGTACACGCACGCGACCACCACGACGATCACAAGGACTCTGATAGTCTCGCGGCCCGTGGAGCTGCTCCTCAACGACAAGGGGGAGATCATCTCGCGGAGATCGCCGCGCAAGACGCGCTCCAATTCGCTAGGATGCATGCTGGATGTGGTGGATGGCGATGGCGATGCCGATGCCTATGGCGGCATGGATAATCCCTGCCTGCAGCTCGATACGGACACGGATGCTCCGAGCTCGGTTCTGAGCTCCCCGCTGACACCCGATGCGGGGGACATGCGCTTCATCGATGACAGCTCCCTGTCCCAGAGCGAATCCGAAAGGAATTCCATCAGCATCAACAACAACAACAACTCCAAGGAGCAGCAGAATAACAACAACTGCAGTAGCAGCCCCAGGAGCAGCCAGGAGTCGAATCTCTGCGAGAGTTGTCGCCATTTGATTGAGAGAAACCTCAGCAATGCCGAGAAGCAGATCAACAGCGATGTGGTGATACTGAGGCAACACCCAAAGGTAGGAAGAGAAGAGGGAAATGGTACACAGGGAGGGTGCTAGAAGGAGGGACGTACATAGGGAGATCTTCTAGACCAAAGCATCCCCAATGGATGTCTATTGCAGAGCCATTCATTCATTAATTCATGAATAATCGCACAGGACTTTCCCTTGAACACTCAATGGAGATTCCCTTGAAAACTTTGATGAAAAATCCCCACCAAAATGATTTCTGCTTAAAAATATTGAAAGCGATTCTTGCTTTCGTTTCAAATTGGATTCCCCCTTGGCTTTTTGTTGATTTTTATTGAGAGAATTTGCATTGTGGTGTGGCGTAAGAACAGGTTGTTCCGCCGCTGCTGCTGTGGGACTTCCTCGTGGCATGTTCTCACACTCCAACACTCCATTCCATCCATTCCATTCTCTTACCTGTCGACAGAACTCTCTGGCCGCTTACCCCGACTGAGAGATACTCGCATTAAGCCCCCGCCACGCCCCGCCCCACCCCGCCTCGAGTTTATTTTTAAGTTTGACGCTCATTAGCTTTGTCTCTCCGCCTTCACCTCCCGCGTTTCCTCTCCGGTTTCGCCGTGGTGTTGATATCACTCCAGACACTGCCCTGACCAGGTCCACTTGTTGGTCTTTAATCAATTGTTGGTCTTTTAACGACATGCGGCCTCCTCTGACATGCCGCAAAACTTGTTGCGTCTCTCAAGACTCTTCTTAGAGCGTCTCCCATCATGAAACCCCTACCAAAACCCCTTTTCAGAGAGTCTCTTTTTCCAAAACCCCGTTTTCCCGAGCTTCTCTTCTCCATTAAACCCTTCCTTAAGTCACACAACTTTTGTTTCTTCTACATTTTCTTATCTTTTATGTGGATTTTCCTTTGTTTTATGTTCATTTCCATTGATTTTTATGGGGCGTATCGTGGTAGCCTCTGGAGGATAGGGTTTATTGAGTTGTAAAGCTCTGATCATTTTATTGATTGGAAAATTAAAGAAAAATTAACATAATTTTGTTTGGGGGGGAATTCTAGGGGCATAGTTTTATGGGAATTTAAGGGGCAAACGGATGTGGTGTGTGGCATTGTGGATAATGAAAATAAAAGAGAGAAAAAGCGGTGGAAGCCTGGGAAAATATTTTGAGAATATTGAGACATAAAATCGTCAAGCCATAAATTATAATAAAAGATATAAATATTGTATGTTGCAGATACACTCGTATATTTGGCCATAGAAAGATACATGTATCTTTTGGTCAAATGTTTGTTCTATGACAGCACTCCGACGATCATCACTTTTTATAAATAAACATCTTACGGGGAGGCTTCTCTGGGAGCACTTCTATCTGCTTATGCGACACGCTCTGGGAATTAAAATACCTCGAAATCATTGACGAAAGTCAATGAATTCTAAAACCTTGCAGCACCCAGCACCAGCAGCGTTGTATCTAGATACTTTTGACAAGTCACTGGCATCCCCTCGGGGAGCAGATACACAAATCCGCATTCAATGATGAGAATTTCAATCGAGTGGAATGCCCAACCGACTGCCGAATGATCTCATCTTTTGAATCTCAACTGCAACTGTTCATCTATCTGTATCTACATATCGTATATGTATCTTTTTATTACAGCCCATGGACATGGACATGGCAATTTGTCAATTGTATATTTTATAGTGTTTAATTGACATTCCTCTGTGTGCCTCCTTCCACGTCTTGGTCTCCCCCCCTCAGCCCCTTTTTACATACGATCGACTCATTCCATGAGTCAGAAGGTCATTCATTCATCGGGTGGGGAGGCCTATGTGTCTCTGAGGGCAATTGATATGTTCCGGTCTCGTGGGTCTCCTCATCATTCATGCGTCAAACCCCCACAGCTACAAGATACAAAATAAAAGATACACATATTCGTATCGTTTTCCGCTTCTTTGGGCATTACACGACATTTGCTTTGGAATGGAATGGAATTGGAATTGGAATTGGCATGGAATGACCCTTGCGATGGCACTGCCATTCCGCGACATCTCCTCTAGGGTTCAGTTCTAAGTTTCTTTTTCTAATTCAATTAAATCACAATTTGCATTAAATTGGGGGGTTTTTTCCCCTCCCCCCTTTTTTGAACAAATTTGAAAACTGTTTTCAAGTGAGTTTTTGTCATGTGTCCGTCGTAGGTTGTTTATTTGGCGCCAGTCGACAGGCGACACGGGCAATGGACAACGGACAACGGCACTGAGGAAATGCAAATTACTCGACTTTCAACTGTCTCTCCATCGCTCTCTGCTGCCATCTGTATCTGTATCTGCGAGTGTGAGCTGAATTTATGGGAATTTTTATAGAGGCAGTCGCTGTACGCAATTTAAATTTAAACACCAGCCTAGCCTAGTCGCTCTAGTCGTTCGCTTATGTTCTGTTCTGTTAACTGTGTACTCTAGAGTGTATCTAGATACATACGCGTGTGTTAGTGTGTGTGTGGGCATGCACTGCCATTTCCTCAATCTATATTTATAGTACCAGCCAGCGATGATTATGATGTCATGATATATGCCATTTATCACCTTTATAATTGGGCTTTTCTTCTTTCTCTCGTTTACAGCAAATCAAAGATGAATTGTGCGAAGTTGTCTCGGAAATGGAGGTGCTCGATGTGCCCGAAGACTGCAAGCATTCCAACAAGGACAAGCAAATGTCCATTGGTCGCAAAAAGTTCAATATGGATCCGAAAAAAGGTGAGTGTATAGATAAAGTATTTCCAGAGATCAAAACTAAGAAAAAGATGGCGATATAATGATTATTCCTCGTTTATGCAAGTCGCGCGTAATGCAGCAGCGTACCTCGGTCGGTTTGATGGGTGGATGCCTGGCGTTGCATGGGCCACTTGATGTGTTGTTCTAGAAAGATGACAATTCTGTGGATACTGTACAAATCCTAGTAATTTCGCAGAAACTTTGAGTGAACTTTTCCTCTTATTCGCCCGCCCAATGATTCACCCCGAATCAATATGCAAATGTAATATTTGCTCAATTCAAGAGAGGTTCCTCCTCTACAATCAGTGGAATCCCAATTCGTGGGGAGTGTCCCTCAAAAGTCGAGAAATGTAAACTTTGCTGATGATTTAAATGAAATCTCAATGACGACGACGACGACATGACACCAGACGACGACAACAACGACAATGATGGAGTCAGATGAAATGCTTTATAATTGAGCTGATGACTGAAGAGAAGAGAAGAGGAGACATCGTGCTACCATTGGAGATGGAGTTGGAGATTGTGGTGGGGTGTGGTGTGGTGGTGTGGGGGGCTCTCCATGAGAGCGTGTCGCGGCGCCAAAAGGCAAAATTACCATGCAAATTTCCACGCAAATGAAGAGCGCAGGAGAGAGGTGTAGGTGCTGGTGTGAGGGGGAGGGGGAGGGGTGACACGTACGTCCAATAATAATTTCGACGTTAATTTAATAACGTAATGAGCCCGAAACGAAATGTAAATGCAACAGCGCCAGAATGTGCAGCAGGCGGCAGTCGGAAAGCAGCAATGGGACGGTGATGCGGGTGTCGGAGGGACGGAGGACAGGGCGTTCCACTATCTTAAAAGTCTGACAAATTTGACAGTTCGTTGACATCTGAAGTACGTGGTACGCGTACGCTTATGCTCCTCCTCCAGTGTTTAATTTAATGGAAATGAAAATGGAAATGGAAATGTCAATGCCGCAATATCCAGCAAGAACTTGTCTCAGGGGAGGACCCGGACCCGGACCCGGACCCGACCCTCAGACATCAGTTCGTTGACAGAAGGCAGGGAAGGGAGGGTGGCATGTGGGATGTGGGATGATGTATGGGATATGTCGAAAGATGAAGGCTAAACACATTTATGGGAGCGTGGAGGGAAACGTTAGCACCTCATTAGAAAAGGGATCCTCTCGTGTTAGATCTAATGCTAAATGGGATCTGTAATTATATATTTGACGTGTGACTCGTTGGGTTTTCGGAGAAGCATTTCGGTAGTTCTACCCCTCGGAAAGGTGCAAGATCTCGTGTTTAATGAGAAGAAGTATCCCATTTCGGTGTGAAATTACTTTTACCTCTCGAAGGGTGGAGTATTTATTGATATTGGAAGATTGTATCCCATTTGCCCTCTGGTAAGGCGAAAGATCGACTGTTGAATGGCAGGTTATTTCGTAATAGAATGACTCCAAACTCCAGACCACATCCCACCTTAAATTTTGATAGCACTTTTCATGTTTTCCGTGTTTTAAAATGTCTCTGGTCGGAGGGGGTGACCCACATGTCGGCGTGTTTGCTTATGGAACACGTCTCTCCAAAACATCTCAATTTCTTTGGCCTATCAGAGCAGCCCTCCCTCCACCCTCCAGCACACATTTTTAAAAGCCAATCAAATATTTACGTCAACCTCTCTTGGCCATAAATTAACGTCGACAAGTCAAAATTAGGCCATGCAACATCTTCCCGCAACACACACACACACGCACGCATCGGGGGGTGGGGCATGAGGCACATCCTGTACGGAATGCCAGATATCTAGACACGAGTATATGTTTACATATATACGGCAGAGGGAGCACAATAAAAATGCTAATCCAAAGAGGGACGACGACTGATGGGTGGGTGGCGGCGGTGGGGGTGGAGTTGGGGTTTAGCGACCCAATAACAAAAGCCAAATCGAATCCCGGCCAGAGACGAGACATTTTGTCGTCGCTTATTAAAAAACTTCCACACGAGAATGTGTGGTGGCTACCTCGGCCACCAGGAGGTGGAGGCGGAGGCGGAGGCAGCGGCAGGCAGGGTGGCAGGAGTGGTGTCATCGTCATTTGTCGCCCTTTATCGGCCGATTATCAGCAATATACGGAAACACACGCACATATAGATAGACACAGACACACACGCACACAAAGATACAAAAGCAACACACACAAACAGATACAGATACAGATACAGATACTTAAATTAAATAGCACACAAATGTGCCATCCATAACGCGCAAACGACGTCGGGGAATGGGGTGGGGTGGAGAGGCAAGGGGCCTGCCCAAGGTATATTCCACAGAAAGGAGGAGCAGTCCCCGAGCAAAGAGCGTGGCGGAGGACCCCCGTTACCTTCTCTTGAATCTACCTCGGGGTCCCTCGGGGCGATGTTAATCGCGCGTGATGTCCTCCGAAGTCACGCAAAAACTTTTTGTTTACGAAAAAGTCGAATATTGTGGTGCGGTTGGTGGGGGCCATAGGCCACAGACCACCATTCCAGCCCTGTTGGGTACCCCTCCCTTTTGCTATTTGCAGATTTCTCATTATCGATGCCGTTTGTGTGTGATTATTGTCGCTGTCCTTGGAAGTTGTCATCGTCAGCGTCAACGTCAACGTCATCGCAGATTTCAATCGGCAAATCCAATTTCTACAATGCACGCCCGGGCGCCACCTGGCGTCTTGAAGCCGCAACAAGCTATTGTTGTACCGTAGAATATTAGGAGAATCGAGGGGTATATGGTATTTGTGGGTGTCTATGTGACAGGCAGAAAGGAGCGTTGCAGAACCCTTAAAGAATTTTTCTATCAGAACTAGCAGATGATTCAATACAGATTTCAATTCCCATCAAAGGGTATCTGCCAGTCGTTACATCTCGCGCAGATTCCATTGTTTGTTTTGTTTACTTTTAATAATTCCATCGAGATTCTATAGAGACTCGCATTGAACTTCTCCGATAGCGGCGTTTCCTCCTCCGCTCGTCCGCCCTCTCTTTGATTGGCAAATAATGACATCGTTACCGACCCACCGACCGACCGACGGGGCGCTCCTTCTGTTCTCGCTTTTTTTCCTCGTTGCCCGATGTTTATGGAGATTGCGCTTTGGTTTATGTTGCGGTTCGCTGGCTCTCCAATGGCCACAAAATGGTCGTATATGGGGGCACATTATATGATTTGATTATTGCTTCGTTCTTGGGCTTCCGGGTGCGCGTTCTTATCGATTACATTACGGGGAGTTACAGTGGAAACTTCTATGGGGAGCCTCTATGAAACTCCATCTCTAATATTCCTTACTTTCTTTCCCTTTTCCAGGCATTGAGTATCTCGTGGAGAACCGACTGCTGCGTCACGATCCCCAGGATGTGGCGCATTTCCTCTACAAGGGCGAGGGCCTCAATAAAACGGCCATAGGTGAGTGGGGAATACCCCGGCCTGAAGTCATAAATCGACCTTCTTTTATGGCCAACGCGAAATTCAATTAAACGCATAACCAACATTTATTTTAACTGCCTTTTCGGTGCGTTCTTTCCAGGCGATTACCTCGGCGAAAAGAACGATTTCAACGAGGATGTCCTCAAGGCCTTCGTGGCGCTACACGACTTTACCAATCTCATTCTAGTGCAGGCCCTAAGGTAGGTCCACCCTCCAGCCCACCTGTTATAATTATCGCTAATGGGAATTTCCTCTTCTTTTCTCTTCAACAGACAATTTCTCTGGTCGTTTCGACTGCCCGGCGAGGCGCAGAAGATCGATCGAATGATGGAGTGCTTTGCACAGCGCTACTGCCAGCTAAATCTGGACATCTTCACCAACACGGACACATGCTATGTGCTCAGCTTTGCCATTATAATGCTCAATACATCGCTGCACAATCCATCGGTGGGTACTGCCAATTGCTAGGGTATGCAGTGGATTGGATAGCACCTGCCTTTAGATCGCATTCAGATATAATTTGATTCGAACAGGCCATTCATCAAGGGGTATTGTGTGGTGGATTCATCCAAAAATACCCCCAGATCTGTTCTTTTCAATTTATTTGGCCCTCTTCCCACTCCCAACCGGATGTTCGTACTGTTGGCAGCACGTCAGGAAGTTGTTGCTTATGCCAAAAAACCGAAAGAACTGCCTGAATCGACTCGACTCGACTCGACGCGTGGCCCGGCCCATGGGCTGTCCTTCAACTGCGAAATTGAATTCCTATTTGCCGGTTGTCAGGCCACAATTATCGACGTCGACGTCGCCGCGACGCAGCGCAGCAGCGATTCACTTCCGCATGCTGCGTCGTGAGTGACAGGGCGTGCGTCCGTCCCGTCCGATCGTTAGAGAAATTACACCACTCGCACGGTCTGCTGCCGTCGCTTGGGTTGTGGTCGCTATTAATAGGTCAAGTGTAGGGGAATCCACACACCATGCCACAGCTCGTGGCATATTCTAGGGCACTTCTGAAAACGATATCAGCGGAGGCGAATTGCTTGCTAATTAAGAGCCATTACATGCCATGCAATAGTTGAAGCCATGCTAACCCTTGATTCTTGACTCTTTCTGTCGTCATTAGGTCAAAGACAAACCCACCGTTGAGCAATTCATCTCGATGAATCGTGGCATCAACAACGGCGGGGACTTGCCCCGCGGCCTGCTGGAGTCCCTCTACGAGTCCATACGCACCGAGCCATTCAAAATACCCCAAGACGATGGCAACGATCTGATGCACACCTTCTTCAACCCCGACAAGGAGGGCTGGCTGTGGAAGCAGGGCGGCAGGTGAGTGACTGATCCATGCCTGAGTAGCTATCCATACTTACGTGTATATGCTTCCATTTGCAGATACAAATCGTGGAAGAGACGCTGGTTCATATTGAACGACAATTGCCTCTACTACTTTGAATACACCACCGACAAGGAGCCGCGTGGCATTATACCGCTGGAGAATATATCGGTGCGGGAGATACACGATCGCAGCAAACCGCATTGCTTCGAGCTGTTTGCCACTGGCGGTGCCGATATAATCAAGGCCTGCAAGACTGATTCCGAGGGCAAGGTGAGTCCTTTTCAATATAGTACAATAGAAGAATGTGCCACAGAAGTATGTACTAATCATTTGTTCTCTCTCATTCGCATTAGGTGGTGGAGGGCAAGCATACCGTGTACCGCATGTCCGCCGCTACGGAGGAGGACCAGCAGGAGTGGATCAAGCGGCTGACGCAGTCGATCAGCCACAACCCGTTCTACGATATCCTAGTACAAAGAAAGAAAAAGGCGCTCAGCAAGAGTTAGTATTAAGACAGAGCTCGGCCTAAACATATTTGTCTTGGATCTCAGTGAAACCCTGCAGCGCGTGTGTGGCAGTGGCGGCGGCGGCGTCGGCGGCTCTCCCCTTATATATACATCTACATATACTACCTTTTACAAATATATATACCATTTATTGTTCATTATTGTATGTTTGTGTGTGTGTGTGTTCGCATGCGTGAGATTTTGCAATGTTTAGCCAATACAAGAGAGTATCTGTAGTTTGTTCACCTTGCGGTTTGCCCCAATTCGTCCTCTGCCGCCCCGCCCCCGCCCTGCCACACGCCGACGCACTCCGAACCGCAAACTTTGTCTCTATTGTTGTGATATAATTTATTTAAGCATTAAGCAGTACAATACGGAAGAAACAGAAACCGAAACAGAAACAGAATACATGAAATTGCATCGTTAAGAAATACACATCTGAAAAATCTTCAAATTAGTGCAAATTACCTTTAGTTTCATTGTACGCCTAAGTCTACGAATATGTCTTTTCAAAATAGAGCACCTACCACCTAAGTTGTCCCCACCCTCACGCCCCACCCCCCACTCTATGATAGATGGATGGACGGATGGATGGTCCTTAGAGCTATGAAACATATCCCAGCAGTCGCCAAACTCCTATTTGATTATCTGTTTGTTTGATGCGAATGAAGAAACGGCTCAATAACTTTTGCTTGGCAATTATTATATGTGTATCGTATTGTATAGACAAAGGCCTTTCCTTTCCTTTTCTGAGAATTGTATTTGTATTGTAAACGCTAAAACAACGAATGAACACAGAAAACTGAAACTGAAAATTGTAAAAATCTGCACTCTTAAATTAACAGATCCAATACAGAAATGCATTTATATACTCGTACATAGGGGAACAATTGTTGTGTAGACAAAGCTAATTGTAATTGTAATCAACCAAAGATCTGATTTAATGTCTGCTTCCACATCCAAGTCGAATGATTGTCGTATATTGTATATTCATCTGAATTGGAATGAATTTATTATTTGTAATGTTTTCCGTAAATGCATTTTGTATTGCCTTTTGTTAATTTGAATAGTTAAGAGACGACGAACCAACCACAAAGTGTTCCTGCCAGATAGATGAAAACGTTGTAGCCACAGATCCACAAAGAACTCCGATGCCAGCATGACTCTTATGATAGCTGTAAGACGCTGTTATCCATAATCGTAGATTGTGATAAGCATTGATGGATGCCAGATCCTGTGTGGTTTTTGTTTGTTTCGCGACTGAAGGATACTACTTCGTCACATCACATCGCACAGTGCAATGTCATTTACCCAACTTGCCTTGTTTCTCGTTGTTAATCGATATCCAGCAAGCATATTGTTTGAATTTCACACTTGGGACTTTCTTGTCATATGAATTATTTGGAAACCATACAGTCCCAAACATTTATGCAATATTATAATTAATTTAGATATCTTAACCGTGTACTACCATCTTTATTAGCACATATGTATTCACTATATCATAGATTAATGTAATCATATGTACATAATGACATATTGGATAGATAAAACATATGCTTAAAAACTCTTCGGTGGGGCTCATCCGCGCCTCAACGCGGATACAGTGCCCCACGAAGTTAATGTCCCGCAAGGGCACTAAATCGAATTGTATAGGTTTGGCGTACGACTATATAAACGTGCGTTTTAGCATTATTAATAAACGGAAATCAACATTTGTACATAATACGATGTTATTTGTATAAGTATGCCAGTTAGTAATACCATAGCATAGTATTTTGTATTGCTTTAGCAGTAACATGGACAGAATATTATATAATGCAACATATATACATTAAATATATATTGTATAGTTTATTACAAAATCAAAAAACAATTTCATATGTTTTAATCGGATTGGGATGGCGGTCAGGGACTCTGTCCATGATGTTTATTCGATCTCCACAGCCCCTGGATTACAAAGAAAATATCCTTGATCCTTGGTCCTTGTTAAGGACTTCATCAGATCAGGGATTTTTTTCCGATCACAGGAAGCCGTCGCACGACCGGATCAGCCCATAAATAGCGGAGAAATCAACATATGTATACTGGGATGTCGTTACATTTTTAAATTTAAATTTCCGTTTTGAAGCCCCCGAAGGTATGCAACAATTTTTTGCATTCGCTAAAGTTTGCTTGCTGCTGATTTCTGTTCGCCTGGTATCCCAGATCTGAGTTACTCGTTTTCTGCCATTTGAGCGGTCGCAAGTTGAGAGTTGTTGTTGTCCAAAATGTTGTTGTTGTTGTTGTCAATTTTTGTACAACAAATTTTTGTTGTTGTACAACAACAATCGGACCGCTCAAATGGCAGAAAACGAGAAATTTCAGATCTGGGATACCAGGCCAACAGAAATCAGCAGTAGGTCGCTGGTTTTTTTTTGTTGCACGGTGGCGCCCCCACTTGTCGTCGGGGATTTTTTGAACTAAATTGGCGGTTCACCTGATATCGACGGACACAGCTGGAACTACATTAGCGTAGTTCGAGAACTCACCGCTGATCTCAGTCGGGGCGCTAACAAGAATGTAGAATGTAGAGTTCACCTAAAAACGTAACGCCTTTTTAAATATATAAGCCAATTTTTGCAGAAATCGCTATAACTCCGCCATTTCTCGTCCGATCTGGGCGTACCATGCCTCCCTATGATCGGAAAAATGTCCCCAATCGTTCGGTAGCAAAGACAGTAAGGATATGTGGTTTTAATGGTATATTTATGTTAGATATCCATAGCTCTGTGATTTCTCGTTATATGCTATAAACTCTGGCATTTCCCGTCTGATTTTGGCATGCCATCTCGTTTTAAGATCGAAGATCTTCTTGATGCACGGATCAGAGCCATTTTACATTCATATACTATATATAAAATATTGTACAAATCTCTTAATAATTAACATCAAAGATATAAGTGGTTTTTATTCTATTGTAAAAAATTTACTTTGTTAGTTCGTTTGTATTTTAGTTTTCTTTTTGTCAAAAAAGCTCTCGAACACTTGCATGTATTAGAGGTAAAACAGTTAATATTGTGCGAAAATACGCGCGAAGAATATATATTCTATAACTTAAAGCTAGGCAAATTAATCCAATAACCCTATATATACGTGTTGGCTGCTTTTGATTCTGTTCCTGGGCAATATTTGTGTTAGTAACCTGAGTATAATAATATTCTATCCAGTCCTATGATTGCTTCTTCGAGCTCAAGGCAAGCCCTTCTTTACTCAACTTCGTGTACTCCGTCTGCATGATCGAACGACAGTTGTCGATAAGCTGCTGCATATCATCCTTCTCGTACTTCTCGGTCGACACCTCGGGCAGGATCTGAATCAGGGCGTGGCCCGGACGGAAAGTCTTCTTCTCGTCGTCCATAAATGCGTACTTTGAAATGACTACCGGCTGAATGGGACACTTGCTCTGCAGAGCAATGTGAAATGAGCCCTTCTTGAACGGCAGCAGTGTGTCCTTGGAGTTGCGCGTGCCCTCCGGGAAGAGCAGAAGCTTGCAGTTACGCTCCTGTATCGCCTTTGCCTCCTTTTGCAGGGAATTAATCGAGTCCGTCTTGCGGGAACGATTGATGTACAGAGTGCCCCAGAGCCAGGCACCAAAGCCGAAGAATGGTAGGTAAAGGATCTCCTTCTTGGCCACAACCGTGCCTCGTCCGATTACCGGCCACAGATAGCTCAGCACACAGAGATCCAGGGCGCTCTGGTGGTTCATTATCACCACACTGCCGTGACCCGCTCTTACATTCTCCAATCCACGCACCTCCATGGTAATGCCCATCAATCTGCATAGCTGTCGGAAGCACCAAGAGGGCACCCTATAAACAGGAAAAGATGGTCCATTAGATTGGAAATAAGATTCTAGAAACATACAACTTACAGAGCATTTCGATAGTCCCGTGGTCGTAGCATCATAAAGGGCACGCACAGCATCACAATGGCGCCAGCGCCAAAGAATATGAAGAACATGCGCATCTGGTAGGGAGCTTTGGCCGAAACACTAAGGATTAGAGCCACCACGCAGGCGAGGCCGATTATTTCGCAAGTACAAGCCATTTTTAATAATGTGGAGATCCCCTGAAAATATTTAAAAAAACATCAAAACTCTATGAGAAATGAAGGCACTACTGCAGATACACATATAAATTTTGATCAAAAGAAAAAGCCCTAATCACTTGAAATTGTGTTCTGTGGTATCTATGATGATAGATATACAGTGTGCTACTATATACATACAGTTTATGAAAGACCATAAATATCGCTCTAAAAATTGAACTAAGTCTTACGCTTTTCAATTAAAACTGCCGATTCGATTGTTATTTATATTTATCCTTACAATTGTGGATACAAAATTGCACTTAAATGGAGATTGCTTGATTTTCAACTGCACGGAATGTTCTCCCCCCAAGAGAAACGTCGGAGTAGAATACCCCGATAATTATTCAATTTGCAATCATTTGCATACTGCCTTGATTGGGTCATGAATTTTCATGAAGATTATGTACTTATCGTGCAAGTACCCATTTTCGTAGTACCAGATAAGAGTGGGGGCCCCCTAGTGGCACGAAATCTGCCTTAGATTATGTAATTTGATAGCCTGGAACCCTTTTTGAGTTATTGGCTGTGCTTCCAGTTGATTGTTCGACAAATTTCCCGTCTAAACAAACCTCTATTCGAGCCCTTAACTAGACCGACACACGTCCGATGCGGCCGATGGCACAAACCCAACTGAAAAGAGCCGCATCAAAGGTGCGCGGGTGTCGAATCTACAAATGGCAAATCGGCTTATCAAAAACGAAACTTCCAATCGCTCTTGCTTGGATTATAGCAGCAGTGAACTTTGATATCTTGCTGACACATTTCATTTGATGTTGTACGTACGTATGCTACTCCAGGTAATCTGAGCTAATCTACTGTGTTTATCATTGGCTATATTCTACTATGGACTATTGATTGCAAAGATCAGAATACGCAGCGAGTAGAAAGCACTTGAAGTACCGATGAGATTGTTCAAAAGCAACCTTGCCCTGCGCTTGCAAAGGAGGCTTGTGTTTTCCCATTATTTTTTTGCTAGCTTGAGTTGGCAACATATTCTTTATCGGATTTCTTTATTTATGATTTCGATAATTATAAGATTACGTTTCTAGAGCTGTACACACCTCTGAGGTAGGGGCAACAAAATATGCATTAGGCTTTCAGGGAAATGTACTCAAATTGTCCCCAAAATGAGAGGCATATGTTAAAGTTCCAATTGCTGTCAACTGACTATAAAGATATATCTACGGCACAGAGTATAAACCGAGTAATTAGACAGTATTCAAATAACATTTAGCCTAAAATCTCTGGCGGTCATGGCCAAGTGGTTGTCATGCCATTGACTTTTGGGGCACTTGTGAGTGGAGTAGAGGCACAATCGGATCTTCGAATTATAAATCTACTCTAGAATAACCCTAAATATGGCTAATAATAGGCGCTACCAGCTGTGGTGTACATATGTATGTGTATCTTTATGGCCAGATTATGTGTTAATACAAAGTTCCCCCCAGCAAAGAAAGAGGGGTTCCTTTTTGTTGTTGTTTTTCTAGTAAAATATTCATGGCCTGGCCCAACCATTATGGCAATTATCTTTATAGATAAATCTTTTGGTATTATTTGAGGCCTGAATGAACAAACCTTTGCGGCCTAGTAGAGCGTTGAATGAGTGTGTACTAAAAACCAATCAGATATACAAATTCGGTAATGTTCAATATTATTGGTCTTTGATTGATTCTGGTCTGGGCCTTACTTCTCTCTATTTAGCTTTCTTTATAGCCCCAATTGTAAATGTTTACGATATTTGATATGTGGCTTTCGTTAGAAAACTGCCTGCCGATACAAATTCTTGGTAGCTATGGATATGCAGTTTTCAATCTAGGTATTTATTTATTTGGTTCAGAGTATAAACAGTTCTCAGCTTAAGAGTCCGCTGATTTCTTGGGTATATTTGCATTTTTGACAAACTACTTAACGATTTTTGAGCAAATATTTGGGGTTTCAAACGCGCTAACAAGTCACGCAGCTTTCATTGTTTTCGTGGAAAAATAGTCCAGTATGCTAAAATTACTCTTTCATGGGGTATTCCAATTCTATAATATTGGCCCATTACAGGCTCTTGATCAGCTATTGATTAATCAAACTAATCAAAAATCAAACTATACAATATTTTACAACTTTAATTGGGAAAAGATTGCAAGCCCTCATGGTAACAGCTCTCCTCTGACTGCTAGAGTATATAAAACTTCGGCACCTACTATCGAATTTTCCCCTGTGGTCTTTTTGTTTGCTCGCTCACATTACGTTGGGGGGTGCTTTGGAGCCGGCTCTTCTTATCTTTTGCGGCAATCGCAGCGAAGCTTTCCATATAACAAAACCCACCCGCAAGCGATTCATTTAGCAAGCATAAGCTTCGCTTCGCTGATAAGATTATGGCATGATTCTGGGCTAGTATTCCATGACCATAGAATAGAAGTATTACTAGTCGTAAACATATGATCGCACGCATGTGACAATCTGACAGGCGGCTGTGCTGGAAAACGGCGTGCGCCTCCCTGCAGCCTCCAATTTGCCAACCAATTTACGGTAGATCGCTACGACAGAGTCAAGTTCAAAGTCAATAGGCGAACAGTCTACGAGACTACGAGAGCGGAAAACTAGACCCCGGACTCATGATTGACTCACACTGCACCGATCTGCTGATCGGGCACTCTCTGATCGAATGATTAGACATAGTTGTGCTATAATAAATGGATGGATGGAATGTTTAGAGCTTTATTCGCAACCGTTAAACTAAAAATATTTGATGTTTTCAAATCGTATGGATGGAAGGCACTTGTTTACACCTGTATGCTTCCAATATCCTGGCCATTTGTTTTTGGCGTAAGCAACCAACCTTATTAATTATGTACAATGTACATATACAGTGTAACAGTGTGTAAAAATCTTGGTTGTTGGTAAACAAGAGTGTTTACAGGTTCCCATTGCACTCCACAGGTACCGTTTATGGTAAAACTAATGAAAGCTCTAATTAAAGCTTTGGGAGAGGGATGGTACCTATGGGGCAATAAAGATGTGCATAATTAATTTCCTAAAGTATGAGTCACTCCTGTAAATAACTTGGGGTTACTACAAATTTCTTTCACTGTACCTGCTGCTCCTCCTTCAAGTTTAAGTTGTTTTCTTCAAAATTCCCTTAGACGAATTCGGTCATGTAAATTATTAATGCAACCAAAATCATTACTTTTTACACGCAACAACAACGATGGAAAGTACAATACCCCACGTATCCCTACAGACTACAATTAAAGGGGGACAAAGTTCAAAAACAAGAAGAACGGAGAAAGGGCATAACTGTAGATAGGTTAGCGGAGCAAAGCACAAAGGATGTCAAACAAGGGTAAGAGACAGAGAGAGAAAACACGCCAGAAGAGACGCAATAAATGTACACGGGGTGGCTCTTCCTATTACACTGCTAAAATAGAGTATGTACATATTTATTTTTATTACGATTCTATTATGATGTTTGTCACGAAGAGGCTCAAAGTATACCCACCATGGGAGCAATTGACTTGTAAGAGCATCAAACGCTTCGGCCACAGAATCGAACATCCCTTTTCTCAGAGCTAAGAGCTCACCGCATGGGAGAAGCAGTAGAGGAGGAGGGGTGAATAATAAAGACAAAATGTGCGTAGCAAGGCAATTGAACCCAATGTTGGAAGAGGGAGAAAAGGCGACACACCACACACAGAGAGAACAACTAAACTAAAGCTTAAATAGTACAAGCACTCACGAAACAGTTATTTTCACTCACTGAGAAGTTGATGGAAAATTGTTGCTTTGCCGGCACCGTTTTACGCGTGGGAGTAACAGTTATACCGATGTGTGCGTGTGTGTGTATATGAATTTTTGCACGTGTGCTTGCGCGGGCGTATGCCTTTGCAGCATCAGGTCACGGGCTTGCTCAAAAATGCAATAAATGCCACTGCACTTGAACCTGAACCGGCGCCAAAACAAACACTTGTTAGATCGATGAAGGATTGCAAAGGAATTCGCGGAATTTCGGGCACCACCAAAATCCGTACAATTGCGCCGCCAACGGGTGGTGTGACAGGGGGCCGACGCCACTCTCGTTTTAAGTGTACCGTTTCAGGCAAAAGTCGAATGTGAATGAGCTTTTTTCCGAGTTTCTTGTTGCTGCTGCTGGTTATGTTCTATCGCGCTCATCGTAGAGAGCCTCAGAACATGAGTTTTGTATGACCCAAACTGCCACAGATAGAAAAACTTATAGTAGCAATTATATTGTTTTGTTATAAGCTAATTTTAAGCTATAAATTGCACGAATTATGGAAAATTTCGAGAAACTTAAATTCACAAATTGCCGATAGTCGAACTGGCGCCTCGGTACTCGATTTCAATCGAGTGGACTATCGATTGCCACATGTTGCGAAGTACTATTTGCTGCGGTGGCGTATGCTTATAAAAAGATGCATCTTTGAATAATTTAAGTATACAAAATTATTTATGTTTATTGGATTCTCGGCAATTTCTGATACAAATATTTGGATATATATGTGATATTAAAACTGGCGCCATCTATTCATATTTATTGAGTGGACTATCGAATGCCACATGTTGCGAAATACCAATTTCATCAATATATTAAATTTCATTTTCAACGGTATATAGAAATCCAATAAAAGCAAGTATTTAGAATAGACTAGTCAAGTAGAAAATTTATTCATTAATAGGATAAAATTATGTGGGCATGGTTGAAAGTTCTATCTAGCTAGTAATATTCCACGGAAGATAAAAAACGAGGAATATGATACATTATCGGTATTTTTTAGAGTGAGACCGTATATTTTATTGTGACTTGCTCTCTTTTCTTTGGGACTTACTCTCTATTTTGTGGTGTTACATTTTCTCATATTAAGGGAATTTCTTAAAAAGCAAGAATTTAAAATAAGCTAGTCAAGTAGATAATAGGATAATTAATCGTATAAAATTATGTGGGCAATGCAAAATGTTTGATCTAGCTAATAATATTCGACGGAATATCAGAAAATGGAATATGTAAAAAAGAACTTGAATTCGTCAGTATATTTACGGTATATTTTTTAAAGGAGACGGTATGTTTCGGTATATTTCTGAGGGTCGGACGGTATATTTTATCGACAAATCCGCGGTCACACCGCACACCACTGCACCCCCGCTCAGCATAAAAATGCAAAAATTCGTTTAAAATTCATAAACACAATATTAGACCTGTGCAATTGCGATAAAATGTATATTACACAGATGGAAACTCCACGGGCCCCGCCAAACGAGAACACTGCCAGCTCGTGTCGCCTGTGCCATCGGCCGGCGTCGACCGCGACCACGCCAAACATTTTCAATGATCGCGAGGGTTTCTGGGATGGCGACAAATTCTGCATTGCCGATGTCTGCCAGAGCGTGTGGGGAGTGCAGGTAAGTGGAAAGCCTTTCAAAGATGTTTTCCTAATAAGATTTTTGACTTTGCAGTACGATCGCCATGAGTACTTGCCGGAGCAGATATGCTCTGAGTGCTTGGAAGTGCTGGAGGATTTCTATAAACAGCGGCGGGGAATGAAGCAGCGGGAAGCAGCCTTGCAGGAGCAACTGAAGGAGATCATTAAAAAGGATCCCAAGTATCGACCCGGATTGAACGGAAATCCTGGTGTATTTGAGCCCGGAGACGATTGCGAAATTGTGGAAGTGGATCCGGATAAGATTGCGGAGACGAGCGATGATGAGATTGGCTCCGATGAAGAGAACGAGAATGCAGAGGACGAGGAGGAAGAGGAGGAGTTCGAGGACTTTGAGGAAGATGAAGCAGATACGACGAATGTAGAAGACGCTGACATGTCCATGCCCCTGGGCATAGATGCGGCTCAAATGGCCCAAATGGCGGTGGAAATGAAGTTAGAGCAGCCCAGTGCTGTATCCAACACTGGAGGACCACGTCCCAAGACCGCTTTTCTGTGTCAGTACTGCGACTTGGGCTATACGCTTCCAGCTGAATGCCAGCAGCATGAGAGAACCGCCCATGATCCCCATGCTCCGTACTGTTGCACATTTTGTAGTTTGCTTTTCATCACGCGAGCCGCCTTAATTGCCCATATCAAGTCGCAGCACGATATGGATCGTCCCTACGTGTGTGCCCAGTGCAGGAAGGGATTTGTACGCCGCTCTGACCTCAAAAAGCACGCCATCGTCCATACCGGCGTGCGGCCCTACACCTGCACTGTCTGCACAAAGAGCTTCTCCCGGAACACCAATCTGACGAAGCATATGCGGATTCACAGCGGAGAGAAGCCGTTCGTGTGCCAGCAATGTCCACGCTCCTTCCAGACCGCCCAGGAGATGACAAACCACTCGCGTTTGCATTCCGGCGCCAGACCCTTCCAGTGCAACCGCTGTCCGTTCTCCTCATCGCGCAAGGACAAGCTTGTTGCCCATCAGCAAATGCACACTAAGCGCGACGTTGAGCAGATCTTGCAGCAGCAGCAACAAAACGCCCTGCATCCACCGACCCCGGAGGAGCTGGCACAACTACAGCACGAGCTGACGCAACAGTTGATGCCGAAGCCAATAACTCCTCAGAAGCCAGGACGAAGCTTCCGTTGCGACGTCTGCGACAGGGTCTTTCAACGGGAGCGCGACCTTCAGCGTCATCGTGCGCTTCATCTGGACACGCTGCTGGCCTGTAAGATATGCAATCTAGTCTTCAATCGGCGCGAACAGCTGCAGCGTCACACACTGGAGGCTCACGGTCCTACCTATACGTGCGCCATTTGCTGCATTACCTTTTTGCAGCAGATTGAGCTGGAGAACCACTTGAAGGTCCATCAGCTGCAGCACAAGGTGGCCCAAAGCACCCAGCAGGCCATGATTGCTGTTGAACCAACAGCGGTGCCCAAAATGCTCCCAGTGCCACAGGTGCCGCTACAGATTCGTCCTTCAGCCGCAGAGCTTAACTTCTACAGCAACATGATTCCCACTATGAACCTGGGCTTCTATAGTGAAACGCGGCCCGAGGAATAAATCCCTCTAAATGCCTATTTTTTAGTTGTTAAGATCTAAAAGTTGTAGTTTAAAAGGTTATTCAAGAATATTCAGTAGAGGATTATATATACGATATATCTAATTTTGTGTAGTTATTAAGCTCTAAAACGTTTAAATGAAGGTAATCAGATTGTGAAAAGTGGTTCTTTAAATTATTATTTATATGAAATAAATTGTTTTTAATTTGCATTTAATGCACTTTTTGTATCAAGTACTGAGGCAGTGCCTAACAAAAGTTGCACAGGCTATAATCAGCGGCTGTCCTGTCGCCAAAAACCCATCAGAATCAAAGCCGCTGCTTAGATAATCATGACACAATCAAGCTCAAACTTGTTTGGATCCGACCTCAAACTTGTTGCATTCTATAGAACAGTGGGGCAAAAATATGTTCAATTTTTTATAAAATTCAATGGGGAAATTTCGTATAAAAGTAATCATTTAAGATATTAGTTTGTACTTTATAGAATTAAACAGTTAATAAGAATGAAAAATACTTCCCGTGGCTGACTCCAATGCCTCACCCCTTTTTCTATCTCTCTCAGAGTAGCTTAGCAATAAAAAGTGAGTGTTCAAGTCTGGCATGTACCCAAGAGAGCGTACAATTTGCCTCTCTCTCTTTATTCTTATTCTCCCATCCTAGTAAGGCTCGCTGGCCCTCTCCTTTCTGCCATCGCACCTTAGATTAAAGATACATAAATGAATACACATATGGAAAATAAGTACCAGGTATCTTGATGTCGAGGCACGTGTGCTTTGCCAACTGGTTTGTGTGTGCCGTCTGGTGGCGGCGCGATAGGCTTCCCCACAAGTGCAAGTGGTCGCGCAGCCGCAGATCGTTTCTTGTGGTCGGCTCGTGTAGTCATGCTCTGCTCCTGCGGTTAGTGCGCGCTTGCCATCGGTGGAAAAATCTCGTAATTCGAAATCTTCTTGGCCCATTGGCCGTATACTCTGTGGATGCTGACAGTGTAATGCTTGATAGAATAATAAATAATATTGTATAGAAGAGGGAGGAAGAGAAATGTGCCCGAGCTGCCATAAATAAAGTGCGGATTTCAAACGAGACGATAAATCTCAGTATTCCCGATTCGAGCACGCAATCGAAGCGGCATCCGAGACAAAAGGAATCCGCGCAGCCAGGTTATCACCTTACGGTTCGGCAGAGATCGGTAAGTACGCAATTACCCAGTCCCAGTCCCAGTTCCAGGCCCAGTAAAGGAGAAGAAGGGTCATTACGAGTGTGGATTTATGTGCCCTGCCTGGCTAGGGGTCCAAGGTGTTGGCGTTGCCCGCTGGGCGCCCCCGGGTTGCCGTTCCTCTGCCCCCATGACAAATGAACATGTAGCGCTAGCCCCCATCCGCGCTTTGATTGAATTGAAATATCCACAAAGTCGGTGCAGCCGGTGGAGCGGTGGACGATGGGCGATGGAAGCACCTGGTGGAGGGGTGGACGATGGACTATGGAGGATGGAGGATGGGAGCACTCTGTCGCTTGCATGATTTTAGTAGCAACTTTTGTCATACCCAAAAAGATAAGAGGCACGAGACGGACATAAAAGGCAGCTGCAGTCATTGCAGCCTTCGTGTCTTCGGCTTTTTGTACATTTAAAAGATGAGAAATGTAAGGAGAATATTTTGTATGGCCGTGCCACTTCTTGCCATATGAAGTGGAATCCCAAAAGCCAAGTCTTAAACTCAAAAGAACCTGAAAAAAGCGAGGTATATGATCGGGGTTTCATTGACTTCGTAGTTAATTCAATTCCGTTCTCATTAGAATCTATTCCTTACTTTTGCTCCTAACTCTTGCGGATTGCGTGTCTGGATCCAGAGATGTGTCTAAAGCCACCCGTTGTGCAATCCGAGAGCTGTTGATTCTTTCGACAAGCATTAACTTTTACCCATCCGATAGCTGGAGGGCAAATGGTTCACAGAGGAGCCCTGTTCCTCCACGCACTTTGGTGCTGTGGTTCTCAAGCAAGCTCTCCCAATCCGCGTTGAGAGCCGATGGCTATGAATTCAATAATTATATAGTGGTTTTCCAAAGCTGTTGCACGCACTACAGCTCTATTTAACCCCCCAGAATGGGGCCCACCAAGGA